ACTTCAACGCCGCAAATCAACGTGACTATTACATCCAGACGATCCTGAATTGTGCCAGAATGCCGTTTATGGGACGTCAGCACCGCGAATCAGCGTGTCTGTTGCGCCCCGACAGTCATACATCGTGCCAAGACACATCTTTGGGGACGTCGACCATGAGAACCCTCGAACCTGGCGTAAACATTTGACACGACTGCGCGCGGTACCAAGGCGTGAGCCACATTCTGAAAAGGAGTCACCATCCATCCGCGAAGCTCTTGCAAAAACTTTTGAGGCGAATGTGCGCGGCGCTATGGCGCGAGCCACGTTTTTCAGGAGGAAAGGAAACACGCAGACACCATGGATCCTCGATTCCCCGGAAAATATGGGAAAATAGGGGAAGTGTGGGGGGGGGGGAAGACAAAAGCCCAGAACATGTTGGAACATCTAGCGAAGCCTGCTATCAGTGTGTATTTCTTTGTGTGCCCCCAGGGCCCCTTCGATTTTGAGAACGGCCCGCCCCCCATCCATGCAGCCCTGCCAAGCACTTTTGAGGCGAAGGCGCGCGGCGTGGAGCGAGAGCCACGCTTGAGGGAGCAGCCTGCCCTCCGCCCACGAGGCGGTTGCGAATGTCACGCTCGAGGGCCCCCAAGAACGGTGAGGTAGGCCTGCCAAGAACTTTTGAAGGCGAAGGCGCGCGGCGTGGAGCGAGAGCCACGCTTTGGGGAGCAGCCTGCCCTCCGCCCGCGAGGTGGGTGCAGATGGCACGCCCGAGGGCCCCCAAGAACGGTGAGGTAGCCCTTCCAAGCTTTCGAAGGCGAAGGCGCTCGGCGTGGAGCGAGAGCCACGCTTTGGGGAGCAGCCTGCCCTCCGCCCGCGAGGTGGGTGCAGATGGCACGCTCGAGGGCCCCAAAGAACGGCGAGGAAGCCCTGCCAAACTTTTGAAGGCGAAGGCGCGCGGCGTGGAGCGAGAGCCACGCTTGAGGGAGCAGCCTGCCCTCCGCCCGCGAGGCGGTTGCGAATGTCACGCTCGAGGGCCCCAAAGAACGGTGAGGAAGCCCTTCCAAACTTTTGAGGTGGCGAAGGCGCACGGCGTGGAGCAAGAGCCACGCTTTGGAGAGCAGCCTGCCCTCCGCCCGCGAGGCTGGTGCAGATGGCACGCCCGAGGGCCCCCAAAGAACGGTGAGGAAGCCTCGGGCGACTCTCCTGGCCCGCCCTGCCGACACGACTCGGGGTGCGACCGGCAGAGATCAGCTCACAGGAAAGGGAATGGAGGAGGAGGAGGAGGAGGAGGAGGACAAAGAGATCCAAGGCTCCGACAAAAATTTGGAGCGGCCGGTGTTTTGTCGTTTTCGGCTTCCACGGGCCTCAACGGGCCCCGCAAAGGCCAAACCACGACTCGGGGCGAAAAGCCCGACAGAAAGGGAATCGGTCCAGACCTCTGAGCCTCCATGAGCGCCGGGGGTCTGGGCAGGCAACAATCTCGGGGTCCCCCAAACGGCGCGGTGACCACACCGTATTGTGTGGTGAGTCGGTGGTGACTCGAGGTTACCGCACGGTTTTGGGTCTGGGATCGTTCTCCGAGGAAGTTTTGTGCAATTTGCGCCGGCCGCCCACGCGCCTCCGTCCGGGAGGGGGGCAGGCAGGCAATGAATTGAGGAGGTTGTTTTTCAACGCTGGGCTTCGCTGTTGCGTGCTCCTGAACCTTCGAGCCTGGCTGGGAGGGTGGCGCACCGGACCTCACAAGGATCCGCCACTTTCGCCACCTCCCAGCCATCGCTCGAAGGGGAAAGAAAAGGGGGGGGCCCGATCCCCTCTCAGGGCCCCTCCCTAAAACAGAGCCTTCAACGCCCCGCTGGCCACCCAGGGGGCGCGGGCCTGGTGCTCGCGTCGAGTACGTTCAGCTCGTCGGGTCCTCGCAGCCGCCCTGTTGGCCTGAATGCGGGCCAGCTGGGCCTCGCTCAGGACTGGAGGGGGAGGAGGGGGAGGACAACGTCAGAGGGCCAAAATGGAGAGGAGGTGGAGGGCCAAAATGGCCGGCTTGGACACAAGCCTGGGCTTCTGCCTCCTCTGTGGCGGTGGCCTGCGGATCAAGATATTGCTGCTCTTCTTGGGCTTCGCCTGGATCTGGCGTATCCCTGTCGTGAGACGCGGGCTTGTTCTGAGACCTATGCCTCTCTGGGTCTGCGCGTTTGCCTCTCGAAGCTTTCGCGCCAAAGTCGGAGGGCACTAGGAATCTAGAGTCAGCCTCCGAGCTCCACTGGAATAAGAAATCAAACAGCGCATTCAGCACCTCGGGGGAATCTCGGTCAAAAACGTGGTCAGCCTCCTCGTCTTTCGCGGCCACGAATTGGGCCAGAGACGCGAGGATGGAACGGGCCAGGGCACCGCAAAGACCAGAGGGGGAAGCTATTTTCCCCGAGGTGCGAAACTGTCGTCCCTCCTTGCCTAGGAGGGTGAGGTGTTTACCCTCGCCGTGAGAGCATCTACCTGAACCGGGAGTGTTTCTGAGCTCATCCGTCAAAACTGGCAGTCGGAGCGACAAGATGCGGGTAGGAGCGCGGCCAACCGTGGACATGTCCGTATCGAGAGGCCAATGTTCGCATGGGTCGAGATCTGTCACTGAAGCGATTGGGGAGGAACAAAGAGCAACAAGGGGAGGCCAGCGACAGGAGGTGGGGGCAGAGGGGATCCAAGTGGCAGGGATAGGGTGTTGAAGCCACCCTCCTGAGCCAACTTTCAGGCGCACAGACAAAAGATGGGCGAGGGCAAACAGGAGCTGGGATCCCGTGGATACCTGATGGTGCTGTCTAGTCGAGCAAAGAGGTACACCCCAAACGTGCTGCTGAGTCCTAAGAGGGGGGGGCTCCTTCATACCACCTCGCAGCAGACTAAGTCTCGCAATGAGGTCCCCCCCTGTGTTGAGCACTCTCCTGGCTCGGATGTGCTCGGCCCACTGCTCAAGGGCCTGTGGCTTGGTCAAGTCGCGTCTATCGCAATGTCGAGCGAGAGGCAATAAAGACTGAATCGAGAATCATCATGGGCGGCTCGATCGAGATGCCACTGGATATCTCCAGTGCGTTTCACCCCTGAGAAACATTCAGAACAACAATCTCTGGCCTCCGAATTTTGAACGGGGTGGCAGAGGCGGCGTCTCCTTGAAAATCCTGGGGCCGAAAGGGCCAGAAACGGTCGTCCTCGGGAACGGTCCCTCGGCGGGCCTCCTGAACGGGAGAAATCAGCTCCCAAAACTGAGCCGCAGCTTCTTCCGAGGAAACATAATCTGCTGCGTCCACAAGGACGGCCCTGGCTTCAGAATCGGAAAGAGGAACAATCGCGCGAAGCTCAAACTCAGTAGGCGGGCGAGACGTAGTACACTTATGGGCAGGATACTCCTGCCTCCACCTTCCAAGCTCAGACGAACGGTGGGCAGCAGCACGAGTAGAGGGTTCCACGTCAAGAGAATGTATGAGGTCCTGCTTGCGACTGGCCTCGCCTGGGTCTGCGCTGTCGTCTCGCACTCTTGCGAAATCTCAACAAAACAGTTGGTGTGGCAAGATTTTCAAAACATGATACCAAGCGGGCTTCGCGCGCGCGTGTCGAAATTATTCGAACGCCCTTGTGCGCGTGCCGTCGCGAGAATCCTTTGCAAAAAACGGAACGAAGTGCGCACGCGCGCGTCGTCACGCGCGCATGCCGAAATCCTTCAAAAACCTTCGGTTTCGGAACTATTTCAAAAGCGTGTGTCCAAAAAACATACAACAACACAGGGTGTCGCAACACGGATTTTCAACAAAGGCGTGCGCGCGCGCTCTTGAATCGTCGTCGTCGTCGTCGTCGCCGTCCGCACTCCTCCCTCGTCGTCGTCGCCGTCGTCGTCCTCTGTCTTTCCTCGTCGTCGTCGTCGTATTGGCGTCGTCGTCGTTTCCGTCGTCGTTGTCGCCGTGGTCGCCCTTCCTCCCTCGTCGTGTTCGTCGGCGGTTCGTCGTTGTCCTTCCTCTTTCGTCGCCGTCGTAGTCGTCGTCGTCGTCGTCGTCGTCGTCGTCGTCGTCGTCGTCGTCGTCGTCGTCGTCTTCCCTCCTCCCTCGTCGTTGTCGTCGTCGGCGTCGTCGTCCTCCCTCCTTCTTCGTCGTTCGCGTCGTCGCCGTCCTCCCTCCTCCCTCGTCGTTGTCGTCGTTGCCGCCGGCGTCGTCCTCCCTCCTCCCTCGTCGTCGTCGGCTTTGTTGGCGACGTCGTCGTCGTCGTCGGCGTCGTCGTCGTCGGCGTCGTCGTCGTCGGCGGCGTCGTCGCCGTCGTCGGTGGCGTTGTCATCGTCGTCCTCGTCGGCGTCGGCGTCGGCGTCGTCGTCGTCGTCGTAGGTGTCGTCGTCGTCGTCGTCGTTGTCGTCGTCATCGAAGTCGTTGGAGACGTCGTCGATGTCGTCGTAGTCGTTGTCGGTGGCGTCGTCGTCGTCGTTGTCGCTATCGTCGTCGGCGTCGGTGTCGTTGCCAAGTGCCATGTGGTATCCACGTTCACGGTCTTAAGAGGTCGTGCTACCAAGTTGCGGGTGGGAGGTTGGGATGTTTGCACGAGCAGTGGAGATGACAGCTTCAAGTTGAGCAAGTGATTGTTTGCACCACGTAGGTTGCATAGCTATGATCGCACGACGAACATTGCACAACCTAGATGGTACAACAAATATTGCACCACACAGGGGCTGAACCAGTTAGATTGCACAACATAAGTTGCACGACTTATATTATGTTGCAGGGCATTGATGGCACAACAGAGATCGCACCTTACAGGTCGGACCACATATATTGCACCGCAGAAGCTGCACCACCTAGACTGCGCCATACAGATTGCTCCGCATAGCTTGCACAATCTACACTGCTGCTGGAAACACACTGGTTGGGGTCCACGCTGGCTAACATTCACAAGGAAAAAGGGGTGGAGGAGGAGGCGGAGGAGGAGGCGGATAATGGGCACGGATGGGGTAAAAGGAGGAAACCGTGGAGAGGACCCGTCCCTCCCCGTGGCAGGGCATTTCCTGCTGCGGAGCACCACCAGCTGATCAGCCGCCTCCGCGCGGCGCTCGCGAGATGCTGCGCCGAGCGCCCAGGGCTGGGTGCGCAGGCCGCTGCACCTCCTCGGGACTCCTTAGGGAGGGGGGGGGGACTCATTGCTCCTTCCTCCTCGTCTCTTCCGCCTCCTTCCTCCCTCTTCCTCCTCGTCCCTCTTTCTCCCACCACCCCCCTCCCTACCTTACCCTTCTTCTTCGCGTTTCCTCCTCCTCCTCTTCCTCCTCCTCATCCCCCTCATCCTCCTCATCCTCTTCCTCTCCTTCCTCCTCTGCATCCCACACTCAGCTTGGTGTGCTTTGGAGGTCGGCCTCAATGTGTTGCTGGACGCTCCCATGTGGATCTTGTCGGGCTAAGAGCTGTTCGCCCTTAAAGCATGGCTTCCGAAAGGAGGGGGGTCGCCGCTGGGTGCAGTCGTACTCCAGCTGCCGCTCGAATACTTGGTCTCCGGCAGACGGATCGTAAAATTACTAGTTCCACCATGCATGCGAAATCCAACGCATTCCGGCGAAGCTGGGCCCCGAGCACTCCACAGAGAAAGTTTGAAGTGAACGTGCTGGAGCTGGACGCGGCCAGCAGAGCTTACTCGAATGCCCCTGGAGCTCGCGACGCCCTGACCTGCCCCGTTGCGCTCGACCGCGGAGCTGCGTTCCCGAGCCTCTCGCCGGAGTTCGTCATCGTGGTCTTCGAGGCGATGGTCTTCGAGGGAGGGGGAGGAGGGAGGAGGAGGAGGAGGAGGAGGGAGGAGGAGGAGGAGGAGGAGGAGGAGGAGGAGGAGGAGGAGGAGGAGGAGGAGGAGGAGGAGGGAGGAGGAGGGGGAGGAGGAGAAGGAGGAGGAGGAGGAGGAGGAGGAGGAGGAGAGGAGGAGGAGGAGGAGGAGGAGGAGGAGTTCCTGGGGCCTTCTCTGCCATCGGTGATCGGTTCTACGGCAGCATTGAGGCCATCACTATGGCCAACACTGTGCCGACCCACACCTGGTGGATCACATCTGGCATAGTCCAGGGCTGTGCGCTCAGCTGCTCTACCTTCTACGCTGCGATCACTCCGCCATCCCTGGTGGACATGCAGCGCCGTCTGGAAAAGCGTTGTATTGGCCTTGCTCGCGCCTGCGCGGCCGACGTGGGCGCAGTGGCGCGTGAAATCGGATCTCTGCGTACGGATCGCAGAGACCACGGCCACGCTCGTCCTCAAGCTCCACAGATTCAAGCTGGTACCGATCTTCTGCTCCTACATGGACAACTTGCGCACGCAGGTGAAGGAGGCGCTCAGGACCCACGCCGCACTCTTCGAGGAGATCCGGATCGCCGGTCCCCTCGTCTACCTCGGCCTGCTGCTGGGCCCCGCGGCGAACGGTGGCTCCTGCTGGATAGGGCTGGCACTGGCAGCCCTGATGCGAACCGGGACCATCGGCCACAGTTCCCCCATGGTGTCCCGCGTTGCCACCAGCATCAGCAGCATGAGAGTCGCCACCGTTCTCTCCTGCGTCGCGCAGTTTCGCATGCTGCCCGAGCGGCTGGTGCCTGCAGCGCTGGCGGCCTTTTTTGCTGCGCCGAGGGCTCGGCACGTTCCGCACGACGGCGTGGCTCCGGCTCGAATCCGCGGGCGGCCCCTCCGTCCGGTCCTGGCTGGCCCTGAGCCTCCTCCTCCCTCCTCCCTCCTCCTCCTCCTCCTCCTCCTCCTCCTCCTCCTCCTCCTCCTCCTCCTCCTCCTCCTCCTCCTCCTCCTCCTCCTACCTCTGCCAGGGTGCACCCACTTGTGCGCTTGGCTGCACCGGCAGCGCCTGCGACTTGTGTGGATCGGCGCTCCCTTGCCCGGACTGGCGCCAGGATCACCCGCCCTTCGCTCTGGCAGAGCGAGGCCTTCGTCGAGGCGCTGCAGCGCGCGGTCGGTGTGGCACAGCCTCGCTGCGCTTCCCGTCGCACACCCTTGAGCTCCTCACAGCCGCGACCGCCACCGCCTTCGGAGCGATCCACGGGTCCAAGAACAACACGTTGTTGCAAAGGTCCACTCTCCCCCTATCTACGTTGAGGGTGATTCGTGGTGCCGCTTTTTTGCCCTCACCAGCGCCGACGTGTTCTGTGGCGGCCGCTGGCGCATGCCGCCGTCATGATGGGGGCACACGCGCTAATACTCGAGAGGATGCTTTATCCCATGGCCCCTCGCCTGCGCCAAGACACTCGCTGGTGGTTGGAGCACGTCGTGCCGCGTCTTTGGGGGTCGTGGGCGGCTTGCTTTGAGGCTCGGATGTGCTGGCCGCCCCGGCAAGCTCCAGCACTCCCTCACGCGCCCATCTTCAGGCAGCACTTCGAGACCGCACTTGGCTTCCCACGCCCGCCGCTACCATTGGGAAGATTGGGCATTCGGAGCGTTCCAGAAAGGGCCTTGCCTTCGAGGATCGAAGGAGTTGTCATCTCTTCACCGGCGGAAGGCGGCGGAAGGTCGGAGGAAGTAAAACGAGGCCGCCTCCGCCAGCGGAAGCCGGCGGAGGTCGGCGGACGCAGAAGATGATGCGCCCCCAAGAGATGACAACATTTTTGGGGTCAGGGTTTCTGGCATCGGCCATCTGTTGAGCGACGGGAACGAGTTCGTCGAAGAAAAAAACATCATAAGCATAAACTTTTGGGTTTTACGCGCGGATTTCTTGGATCTGCGCTGGGCCCCCCCGGCAGTGCCTCCGGCACCGCCCCTGACGCGCTCCGCGCGCCAGGGAGGAGGGTCCAGCGCAGGTCCAAGCAATCCGCGCGGAGCTCTGGAAGTTTATGTTTATGGCGTTTTTTCTCCGTCTGGTTCCACAAGGTCATCCTTGGCACCATGGCCATGCCCTAGACCTACACCTGGGCCCCGGTTGCAGCTCCCACCCGCCGCTTGGGCCCTTTTGACCTTGCGGCGTCGCACGTCCAAGGCCGGCCTCCGCACGGCTGTGCCAGGAGCTACCTCGCAAGACCGCCTAGGTACCGTCGGACCGAGGCGCACGATCGAGACTGGTTCGGGGAGGGTGCCCTGCTCTGGATGGAGCAAAGAACGCCCACCCCTTGGATCCGCTGGGGGGTTGGGGCACGCGCTGTCGGAATCCGCTGAGCGGGGGTTGGAGGAAGAGGAGGAGGACGAGGAGGGGGAGTAGGATGGATCGCCGCCCCTGCTAAATAACACACCCAGAGCAGTGCTCTTCGTATTCATTGGATGCCCTCGTGCATCCTGGAGGGGGTACCCTGCGATGCTCAGAGCCCCGAATCATCAGGGGTAACTCGGGTCAGGGCTAACTCGGGTTCGCTTTTCGGGATTCCGAACCCGACTTACCCCGGACCCGGCTTACCCCGGATAACTCGGGCGTCCAGAGCCCCAAATCATCAGGGGTAATTCGGGTCAGGGCTAACTCGGGTTCGTTTTCCCGGCATCCAAACCCGAGTTACCCCGGGCCCGAGTTACCCCGGATAACTCGGGCGCCCAAGATGCTCTGTTGGCTCCGGCCGACGGAGGGCCTCGTGTCCTTGGGGGCTGTTCTTCTGGCCTGGGTCCGACTGCACCTCGCCCAGCGGCGTCGCGCCCCCGCCCTCGCCCCTGGCGCTGCTCCTCGAGCTCATCCTCATCTTCGAGCTCTCCGGCATCGCCCACCACGCGCAGCGCCCACAGCTCTCAAGAGCGCAGTCCCCAGCTCCCTGGGCCAGCCGCAGGACTCGAGTTCGCATTCCCAGAGATCCGAGGAGGATATGACTTTTTTCAATCCGGCGTTTTTTTCCTAGATTTCGTCCTCTGGGGCCCGTTATCTGGCCCGTGGGCCATCAATAATGGATCTGGGCTTTTTCTGGGTGCTCGAATTTTTTCTGGGATGTGGTCCCAAAGTACGATGGAAGCAACATAAGGCTTGCGATGCCTCTGCACAAGCACGGACAGTGGCGAGGACGTGGGCCCGACTCTCTGGCACCTCCCGAGCCTGATGGCCCCTCCTGGCGCGTGCGGAGAGCGGCCAAAAACCTCCTCCCTCCTGCTCCTCCTCCCCTTCCTCCTCCTCCTCCTCCTCCTCCTCTTCCTCCTTATTCCTCCTCACTCAAGCAACTCTGGCACGAGCGCACCATTTTGGATTCGCACTCGGCCAGCCCCACGCCTCCACGTGGTGCTCCGCGCGCCAGAGCGCAGCAGATCCTGTCGACGAAAGTGGGGACCCAGCACACTGTCCCAGGGCCATGGCGAACCCTTGGAGCACGTGTGCGGGATGCGGCACGCATGAGTTCAATGCCAAGCTGTTGGCCAACGAATACAAGTGCCTCACTCTCCTCCTCTTTCCTCCTCCCCTTCCTCCTCCTCCTCCTCCTCCTCCTCTTCCTCCTTATTCCTCCTCACTCAAGCAACTCTGGCACGAGCGCACCATTTTGGATTCGCACTCGGCCAGCCCCACGCCTCCACGTGGTGCTCCGCGCGCCAGAGCGCAGCAGATCCTGTCGACGAAAGTGGGGACCCAGCACACTGTCCCAGGGCCATGGCGAACCCTTGGAGCACGTGTGCGGGATGCGGCACGCATGAGTTCAATGCCAAGCTGTTGGCCAACGAATACAAGTGCCGCGTCTGTCATAGGCCCGTGAAGCTCTACATCCCGAAGGGAAAGAAGAGCAAGGGCAAGAGCATGGGCAAAGGCAAGGACACTCAGCTCGAGCTCGAAGCTAAGCCACCCGAAGGAAGTGCAGGCGCCGAGACCACCACGCAGCAGACGGTGGTCGCGCTGTCTAGCGCCCTGGCGGTGGTCAAGGATCCCAAGGTGAGGCAGATCCTCGAGGAGCAGCTGAAACAGTCCCAGCAGGCGGTGGCGGCGGCAGGCAAGCCGCTCGCGGCTGAGGAGGCCGTGCGCCGTGCGGCTGGGGCCTGGCGGGACGCCAGCGCGAAGTACTCGCAGGCGGCGCAGCAGGTGAAGCGGCTGGAGCAGAACCTGAGCGCTGCGAGAGGGAAGGAGTCGGAGGTGGCTCGCGCGC